TTTTTACTTCATCTTATTCTGAATATTCTAAAAATTGACTACCATTTAGATCAATAGTCTAAGTTATTCAACTAATTAGCTAACACCACTCTCCAAAAATGTATATATAAAAACAATATAATGACTTGGATAAACAAAATTAGACTTTAATGTATATTTACAATTAATTTAATATGAAACGCGTTTGATGTTAAATCCAATTTCAACAGTTTCTTCATATGATTTTAGTTTAAAATCTCTACACTAGTCTTTTGATTTAACGTTAAATCTTACTAATAGTTACATAATCTAGAATCATTCTTACGAGTAAAGAGTTTCATCATTTTTCTCTGAAATTCGAACAACCGTCAGTTTCTTAAAATCGGTACGAACATTAAATTTCTATGTATGATTCTTTGCCCTACGTTATAGTATTTATACACACAATGTTTGTTAGTTTTTTTTCTAATCGTCACATAAATCTTTTGATGGCGTATTTCTAATGACGTATGTTTAAGGGTATTCTAGTAATATTAAGGATTAAACGGCGTGGTGATATATTAAGAAGGGAAGTGGATTAACGGCGTTAGAGGGGAACACGGAGTGGATCCCACATAACTGTAACTCCACTCCATAAATCACGTTTTTGTACTTTCCTTATTAAAATAGCAGCAAAAATATTAAAAGAAGCGGGAAGTACACGTCTCCTCCGCGATTAATGACCATACACGTGTCAAATTTAACTGCACAAATCTGATATTGTTTTCTAGAGTTTGGAGCAGCGATCAGCTGCTACGCGACTTATGAAGCATGCGCATCTCTTCTCCTAATAGACGTTGATCTTGTCTCTTTGTCTTTGATCACACTAAATTAATATTCTTTTGTTATATTATCCCACGCGAATGTTAGGCACCTTTTTTTTTTTTTTACTTATGTTAGGTACAATATCTATTAATAATATCTTTATATAGAAAAATGCGATACATAAATAAAATTATAACTCATTAGATTATAATATATGTCTAATATTGATCAGAGGATGACATGTATTAAATTTTAAAACTAATAAAGAAAAAATAAAATTAATCATGGAAAACAAACAAAATAATTATCAAATAACTAACCAAACAGTAAAAAAATTTTTTTAATAATCCCAAATACCTTGGAGAAAAAATTATAATAGTTTAAACAAATTAGAAAAAAAAATAGAAAGACTATGAACAATAAATAACAAAGAGAAAATATAAATTTTAATTAAGAAAAAAATATGAATGAAAACAAAATGACAAAAAATGAATGATAAAACAAAATAAATTGTACAGATTGAAGGAAAAAAATTCGAAAGTATATGGAAGTCTCAATGTTAAAGTTTTTATGCACAAACATACCAAAGAAAAAAAAATCTATAAACATATTTATTTTGTAAACATGTTTATAGAATATTAGAAAGGAAAATATGAATCTTCTACCTTTACTTTTTAAAGTTTAAAAAGAAAATTACATAAAATGAAAATTTATATTTTATTATATAAAGGAGAATGCGCGCGATGAGAGTTTGACACGTAGACAAAATTTTTAAGCACTAGATCATGACACGTGTAATTGTTAATTTAGAATGTGACATATGTCAATATTAACAAAAAAAATGTAAAAATAACATAAGAAATATATTCTAAATAAGGATTATGGACTAATTAAGAAAAAAGAAAAAAACCGTTCTACTAAAATATGTAATATTTCTAAATTTTTATATTACAAAATACATTCTTTCTATTTTAAATTATCTAAATAGTTAAAGACAAAAAGAAATGTCATATTTATTAGTGTAATTTTTCTAATATAATAACGTGTGTGAGACAATTTTAGTATGAGATAAATATAATAATAAAATAAATATTAAATATTTGTTCGAGTCGTAATTTATAATCTAATTACATTTATCAAATTATAGGTGTTATAAATTTTAAAATCAAAAATATTTACCGCAATGCGTTTTTATATCAACATGACACGTAAACAAAATTATAACTCACGAGATCGCGACATGTATCTAATATTGATCAATGTGTTAAAACTTAAATTAATTAAGAAAAATTAAAATTAAAATATAAAGTAATTGTCAAGTTAATATTCAAATAATAAAAAGTAAAATTTTAATATTATCAATAATAATTAAGAAACAAAGTTTAAGAAGAAATATAGACATGATATAAGCCATAAAATAAACAAATAACACATATAGAATAAAAATCTCAATTAAAATAAATAAAAAGACGAATGATAAAAAGGTATATAAATTGGAAAAACAAAAGTTAGAAAGATTATAGAAACCTCAATTTAAAATTTTTAAAATATACACAACCATGAAAAAATAAAATAAAAATAAAATCTATAAGTATACTTATTTTATCAATATAGAGTTACATAATATCACAAATTATAGAAATTGTTGACCTATGATGCCATTGATACTTTTCAAGTGTATACATTGAAAATTATATATGTTAAAAAATAATAATATTAAATATACTATCAAGTTAATACTGTATAAAATTTGGCGAGTATAAATCTTTAGGAAAAATAAAACGATGACATTAATAAAATACAATTATCCATCATGTACTTATGTAATGGTTCACAACATTATTTATAGTTTTTATGAGGTTACTAACATAAAATTTACTCTTTTATGATTTAATTATATATATTTTTGGATTTGAATGATATATAATAGAACATGAGAATTATGATATAAATTGATTTCTACTGGTTTTAGGATCCACGTTAAATAGTATTTTAAAATTTAACGGGTAACTAATTAAAATTTAAAAATATATTTCATTAATTTTATAGTATTTACCCACGTATTAACGCGGGTCCTATTCTAGTATCTTATAAAATAATAA